AATTGTTACGATCCTGGTCATTTCCCAAGTGCAATTCACAATGAAAGACAATGCCACCCAATTGCGAAAGAAATGAAAGCACTTGCAAAGAGATAAAGGTCAGAGAAGAGAGGGGAAGAAGAAGAAGAAGAAGAAGAAGAAGAAGAAGAAGAAGAAGAAGAAGAAGAAGAAGTACACCAGGAAGACCAATGAGTGACAATGACAATTCCCCCCTTTTCTCTCCAACCTCCTCCTCCTCCTTCACTTCACCAATCTTATTATTATCTCAATAATAATAATAACAATGAATGGATGAACCAGAATCAATATCCGAAGTTCCCTCTCACTGCTGACTCAACTCCACAACAACAACAACAACAACAACAACAAGCCCACCATAGCTATGGCTTCCCTCCTTCAGCCTTCGCTCTCATGCATAGGCTATGGCGGATTGATGAGGGCCCTGCCCTCCTATACAAAAGACAACCCAAAGCAACTATGGTGCTCAGCCTGCCGATATCCAAAGGACAATCCAAGAGCAGCTATGCCGATGCTGACTGGTCCGCCATGCCTGACTCTGCCTCGAGCTTCCTTGGTGCAGCGCTACCCCAACTGGGGCCTTCCGGATGCAGCGCCCAACAAGGTGATGAAGACGGTGTCCACCATAGCCAGGTAAGTGCCTCGCCACTCTCCTACCATGCCCCTTCTTCCTCCTCCTCAAGCTGGACTGCTCGCCATAGCCAGGCTGAGCTCCAGCGGTCCCTTCTCCCTCCAAGCAGCGTTGTACCTCCAGCGTTGTGCTCCAGCAGCATGTCGCCAATCCTTGCACACCGCAAATGAGGAAGAGCTCTTTGCTCTTCCTGGAGATATAGCGGCCTACCGGCCTCCTGGGCGGTGACTTCCTAGGCCGAGCGGCCTCCCAGCAACCAGTACCTCCTCCCTTTCGGAGGGAAACATCATTGCAGGCATGCTATCCTTCGGACAGGCCCTAGACCCGGGCTACTTGGACTGGTCCCGGCCTACCTCTAACCTACCGCTACTGGGGCTCTAAAAATGCCAAATTTTTGTCTTCTTCTGCTCGGCCTTCAGTACCCGACACTCATACCACTACTCGAGTGGTACCGGCCTATGTGCTACTCGAGTGTTTTCCCTTTGCTCTAAGTGTCGCAGGCCTACCCCCACTACTTGAGTGTCTACCCCCCTGCAACCTTCACAGTCGCGGTCACAAGTAAGTACCGGCCGTGCGGGGCCTTGCAAACAACAAGTACTCTTGCAGGGCACACACACTCAACTGACAAGCACTCAGACAGTCATGCAAACCAGCAGGCACGCACACACACACACACACATGGAAATCACAGCAGAATGGGGGAATTTCAGCAAGGCATTCATTCCAGCGGCAAATCCCATAAATCAGCAGTGTTCTCAGTCTGTGTTTTGGTGGGTCATGACACAATAAAAAAATAACCACAAAACATCAGGAAAATTTAAAAAAATAAAACCGAGATTGGGTGGGGGATGTGTGGTTTGGGCGGGTGTGTTTAATTTAGTTTTGTTTCTTCCGAGGGACCTCCAGCGCCCCCGCCGTGCACGGCGACGCGCGCGCAGCCGTGGGCGCGACCCCCGTTGTTCGCTTTCCCGCTAAACGGCGAAGCCGTTTGACGGGTATTCAACGGAGTTGAATCCATTCAACAAGGATTCAACTCCCGTTCAACGGGTTCAACGGGGATACAATGGGCGGGGTCGACGACAAACCCCTGTTATTTCGGTTCACGTCGTCGGGCACGCGTGCCCGGCGGCTATTGCGTGCAGTCCGCCTAACCCCGTTCAACGGGAACCGGCCGTTGAATCGTTCAACGAGGTTTCAACTCGGGCCTTGTGCCCGTTCAACGGGTACAACGGAGTTGAAAAAATTTGTTTAGTAGTTGAATGGACACACGGCCATAACATATATTGTTTTTGGAGTTTTCTGAATTCTTTTTTTTTCCATGACCGCGGCCTCGCGGCCGAGACCGCGGTCTGCGGTCGTGCCCGCGGCGACCGCGACCGCGGTGGATTCATAGCGCATGTAGTCACATTGAGATGGATTAGACCCTCGAGATGGCCTCAGAAAAATATCAAAATAGGTCGGGAATGGAAAGAAAGGAGGAAGAAGCAGGGTACAGTGAAGTCTCATTATTACCCTCTGTAGCATTGTGTTCGGGTTCTGTGACCGAACCGGAACGTTCGGGACCGAACACGATCGAGCGTCAAAACAAGTTCGGTGTGCTACACAGTTATTACCTTCCGCCACTTCGATATGTTGCGCGTGCCCATGAAACGACTTTGAATACACCAGTATGTCGTCCATGTACACAATGATGCAAAAGTTGATCATTCCTTGCGTCGGGCGGGTCTTGTTCACAAAATTTAAGAAGGTGACATTCATTGCTTTCTGAAAGTGGCTGGTGTGTTATATATCCCCATAGGGCATCGGATCCATTGCCACGTGCCTTCAAATAATACAAACGTTGTCTTATGCTGATCTTCTTCCTTTACGAGGATGTGATGGAACTCGTGACGAATATCAAACTTACCTCGTCAGATACATATTCGGGAACATGCAGCTCGTAGGGTCGCCTGTGAATGGTGGCCTCTACCTGCTTGGTGTGATTTGTCTTCGTGTCTTGGGACAGGGGAGACGAAATAAAGGAGTGGTCCGATCGCCAGGAGACCACTATGTCGACCATCTGGGCATCCTCCTCGCGGATGGCCATTTGTCCTTCAGGGGTTCTTTTGTCTTCCACGTCTCGGGAGTCTACCGATTTCTTCGCAATTTTTATCCCGCTTTCGAAGAGGGAGGCGTCGAGTTGTTCAGGGGGTTCCAAAGTGTGGATCTCGGCGCCCCTAGGCAACAGGCGAACTTCCTTTCCTATTATGAGCAGAGGTTGGGGAGGTAGTCCCGTGACGTCGGAGAAAGATCGTTTGTCCAAGCAGCGTGGGAGCAGTGGGGTAGTTGTCTCGTATAGGGTTCGAGCAGGTTCCCAAGAGTCTGTCATCCGGATAGTTCCACCAGTGGTTCCCCAAGAAGCATTGTGTGTGCACGGTGAGCCCGTTTTATGCGAGCACTGGTTGTATTCTCGAAGGTCGTAACTGTTTTCTAATGGACCAAGTATCGCCAGGTTTTATTCATTAATTCGTGCACCATTTCTTTCCCCTCAAGGTCACTATCGGAACCAGTAGAAGGCGAGGCGAGAATCTCGCTATCTTCTTCACTGCTCTACTCGGATTCGATTGCTCCTTCTTCCAGAAGGATCACTCACATTCCTCCTCTTAATCCGGTGGGAATACTGCGAAAATTGTTGGAAAGCACTCGAAGAGTCGCAGGGTGAGGCGCATGGGGACGTTATATGAGTTTCCTCTCGTATTCTTTAGGACCTCTTATATTCTTTAGGACCACCATTCGTCCTTCGAAATCCAAACTTGCTTGAAGCGCGTTGAGAGCGGGTCGACCAATGAGCACTTCGTATGACGTCACATTCAGTACATTTGCCTCACCGAGAATACGCACTCTTCCTAATTGAAAAACGACGTTGAACTTTGGCATCCGACCAGCGACCCTAATCTTTCCTTCGTCTGCTGAGACGAGGTGATCTACTTCGGGGACGCGGATTATATATATTTTGTCTTCCATCTTGCTCAACTACCCTGAGTGATATTAACATTACTGCTGCTATGGAGTGAAGGATGGCACTGTACGGTGTCGAGCGCATCATTCCCGCAGGGGGACCCTCCAGGCCGCAAAACGCAGGATTTGTGGCAAGACGTTCATCATTTTATCGCGGTACAAATGAAACTTTCGATAGCCACTCCGTCCAAGTGCGCCAACCATACCTCTCGTGAGTCCCTACGACAGGATAGGGCTTACGCGATGTACAACTTACCTTCACCTTGAGGAGTTGTCACCCTCATTTGGTGGGCATATCCCTGCCGAGCTACCAGTCCACAGTACGAACGTTGATCAGTTGCGATCACAGAGGTGGGCCCACACCTTTATCGAGGTGTGCCCGTCGAGGGCATTTCTCATACGCCGTAGCATAGGGGGTACTTGTAGTCCCACCCCTCTATCGGACTCGCATGTAAACCGGCGCATTGGGGGGATGAAGTCCCAAACATGACTCGTCGTCAGACGACTAGGACGCATCACACTCACCATGCGTTACACGGCGTTAAAAACATAAAATTAAATACACACACAACACAAAAGACTCCTAGTCCCCTTAGTATCCGACTCATAACCTTTTGATACAGAAATCATTTAGGCATCATGCGCGAGACTTATGATAAAATCGCACGGGCGCAAGGCTTAGTCATCTCGACTAGCAATGCAAGCATACGAAAGCAGTCGAAACGATGGAGTACTATGTAGCTGTGCAGCACACCGAACATGTTCAGAGCTTTTCCGAACGTTCGAACATGTTCGGGTGTTCGGCCTAACACCTCCCGAACGTGTTCGACCGAACATATTCAGAAGAAAAAAAATAAAAAAAATATAAATAAATTTTGGTTTTGATTTTCAACTCAAGTTTGGTTACGAATTTGAGCATACCTCCTAGGCAAAAGTTGTTTGTATAAGAATTTAACATAACATATACTGTTTTTTCCTAGGCTACCAGAGTGGCCCAGGGTCACTTGCCCGGCCGGGTCAAAAAATAAAAAAAACAATA